GTTTGTCTCTTTCTTGCCCACTAACCAAGTACTTCACATATTGGATGAGAGATAATAAGTTATCCCCAAGCTTTTGAATAGGGCTTGCAACAGGTTGCCAAAGCACAGCCAAATATATTGACCCACCAGAACTTCACTGTGAGGGGAGTTTCTTAGCCACTCAAAAATCCACAGTGTATGACAACTTTTTGAATCCGTCATTGTAAGTCTTCCTTGAACAACAACAACTTGATGGTATGTTTTAGAAAAAGTAGTTCCCATTTAGAGGGAGTGATTCTTTTAACTTTGGACCAAACTAGCTTTAGATGAGATAATAAGTGAGGCCTATTGAGATAATAAGTGAGGTGCTATTTTGTATACCTTTAAAACAAACAGGCGCTTTTTTAATTTAAAAAAACTTTCTTGAGACAAGACAGCATATTTAATATTTGGTGTATGGCTGTTGCTCAAGCTTCTCATGTGGCTCCATTAAGCAAATTGCTTGGCAAGACAGCTAATGATTCTTTCTCCCATTTGCATGGCCAAGCATCTCCTTACTTCCACTTTGCCACAGTCTTAAATGACTTCAGCGTAAGTGAAAGATGGCATGAATCATTGTAAATTTTTAGGTTTGTTGATCTTCCGTGCAGAGGTATAGATGCAATCAAGTGCAAAGGTAGAAAGTGTGTGTGCGCTTCAGAGAATTAAAAATTACTAAAAGAGAACTTGCTGATGTCTGAAGCGCCTGTGGCTGCTCCAGCTTTATCCATCTTCTATCTACAACATCCAGCCTACCATAATTCTGACTGACTTAATATTCTTAAAACACTAATTGAACCTGTCTGAATAATGTACAGATTAGTTAAAAACTGTTGCAAGTCAGTGGATTTAAAAAAAAAGTTGAGCTTTTTCTCTTTTACTTTTTAATTCTTGGATTATGTATTTGAATAATGTACATAATCCTTTATGTATTACCCATATATTAAAAATACACATTTAGCACATTATTATCTGTATTCTCCAAAGTATAGGGCAGCTATTAATTATTAATCGCTTCCTGAATTCCATTATCACTTAAAGTAGTCCATAGTGAGTTACATATTATAGAGCATATAAATGACATAACACAGAATGACTGTGTGGATGCAGAGGAGAAGATTGTGGGCTGATCTTATCCACATATTACTGGCCTAGGGCTGCGGTTCTGTTCTTATGTTTTAAGAAACGTAAGTTCCTTATATTGACATCCTTGGTGCCCAGATGCAGCTGCCCTGAGGGCGAGAGTCTATTGTCCATACAGAGATAGCTTGCCTAGTGGCAAGATGAATGAGGTGGAGAAACTGCCTCTTCATCAGGGAGGCCTCTTGCAATGGATTCTTCATTAACTGTCAAGACGCAGCCGCCTCTAGGGTGAAGCATAGCCAAGTACTGCAGGACACTGGGGTGTGCTTTCACTAGTCTGGACACTGACCTGGGTGGTTTTTGTCCTTCTCCCCCTCCCGTAGGGTTCACCACAGCGGCCTACCTCAGGGTCCACGCGGTCAAGGACCACGGACTGGCCGCCCCGCGGCTGGAGCGTTTCCTTTGCAAGCTGTGTGGCGTGCACTGCAAGACCCCGGCTCAGCTCAACGGGCATCTGCAGACGCACGCAGGAGAAGGGGCTGCGGCCACTGAGGGCCAACCGCTGCGGTGAAACGCTGGCCGGGCCACCAGGCAAGAGCCACTTCCTTCTGTCCTAGGGGATGGGGAGGGGTGCCCCTTTGTCCCATAAGGCTTCCAGGTGTCCATGCATTTTCAGTGGGAGAAGGGAGAACCCCAGCTCCCCTGGGGCGGCTGCATCCTAACGTAGAATCCCTCTGCCAGGAATTAAGGGCCTGCATGTTCCAGTCTTTTTAGGTTTTGCTTACAGATGTCATGCTTCAGGTTCAACTTAAAAGGAGAAAAGTTGAATTTTCACTGTAAAAAACATACAATACACACATTCCGTTGAATGTTTTATTTATCTGCATATTGTTCCAAGGAAAAATACCATTGTCCAAACACCATTAGGCATAAGATGTCTTCATCCTAACCAGAAAAGCTCTAGCAATGTGGGCCAATAGGCATTTTGTGAGGTTAACAAAGGATCTAGTGTACTAATGGCTGTTTGGGTTCCTTTCTACATTTAAAGGTTTTAACTCAGACAGAACATCATGCATAGCCATTGTGCTTTAATGGAGGAGCGTACTAATGAATTCTCTTGAGAGATGATGGGTGCAGTGGGACATTTTCCAGATCTAGTCATTCTGGTGGATGCCTTTCTCTGTTGGGCTGACTCACATATCCCAGAGAACCGTGATAGACTCTCCTGCAGGGAGTTAGCCTGTGAGAATTGGACCATTTACTGTCTAGGTATTTTTAGAGTGAATTCCTACATTGTCTTCAGTAGGATGCCTCAAAGTTTCATATTATTTCTTTCAGCCTTGCTTTAATACATGTAGATTTATAAAGGTGCTTCCTTTTTAGTCTTTTAGGGAAGGAACTTTGGGATATCAATAAAGATAACAGAGGCAGCTGCATGCAATCCTTTACCACATAAAATCAGATATGTCAGTTATATGAGTTTACTTTATTAATTGGTGAATTTGGAATGCGCCTCCTGAGAATGAGATAAATGTCTGATTTCTGCGTCTGTCTCCACAGGTACGGGTGAGGTCTGCCCCCTCGCCGCAGCCGTCTCGGCCCAACCTCCTGCCGCTGCCGTCACGGTGCTGCCCATGGAGGGAGCTTCGGTTGTGAGCCAAGCCCTCCCCACACAGCCCTGGTGATTTTGGGGAGCAGGGAGGCAGAAGCCCACCCACCCAGTCCCGTCCCTCTCCCACACGGGCAGCTGGAGCCTCCAAGCCCAGACAGATATGCAGTGGCCATATTTGGGTTTCTAATTTAATGGTGGTCTCATTCATTTTCTCCCCTGCCTGTGCTCGTAAAATAGTGGATCTGGGAAAGCACTTGCCTGGTTCAGGCAGCAGCTCTTGTTCAGAGAACCATGGAAGGGCTTTGTGTGCATTCAGAGAGCGCCCTCGTTTTTATTGACTCCTCTACTCTTAGGACCCTTGACTCCTTGCCCCAGGCAGTCCCAGGAATCCAGGCATCTTCTGTCCCTTTCCCTGGCCAAACAGCTACAAGTCTTTGTCACCATAAGTCTCTTGCTTACCCCAGCAGCGCCCCCTATTGCCCCAAATTGGCTACCCCCCTAAAAAAGAGGCGACAGTGGGACAGAAAGACTGACAGGCTTGATTCGGGATCAGATTGAGGATATATGTGGGAAAGAATTATGGAATGACATTGCAGCTGAACTGGGAATCATTGGGCGTGGGTTAAGGTCGATGGAGCGTGTGTTTCCCACAGAGAAGTTGGAAGGGGGGGTCTACATCAGGACTCGGAGGCATTAGAGGTGTCTGGAATTCCCATTTGCGGGGATGGGGGTTGCTGCAGTGAGATGGAATAGAGAGAAGGGATGTCTTCCTCCCGGGCTGCAGGGTGGCATGCCCTCCATTCCCCTGCTGAGGAGCTGCTCTGGATTTCCCTCCCTCGCCCCCGGCGCCTCATTCTTCTGCGGTGTTTGTTTTAATGCTCCATCCCTTCGGCTTCTCTTGTGATTCGTGTTCCGAGCGTGTCGGCCCTCCACACCAAGCATCGCTGCCCCACCTGCTGAACACCTTCCTTGTTGCATGCGACCCCCAACCGTTTGGGGTTTAGAGTCTCTCGCTCTTTCTTTTTTTGTATTATATATATAAAAAGATCCCCTGACATTTAAAATAACCCCTTCCCCTTTGTGTTTTATTTTTTTGTTTTGTTTTTGTTAACACAAAATGTAATGAAGCAGTGTCGATCTCTCTCCTCCTTCCTTCCCGTTTGCCTCCCATCTCTTTCCCCCTTCTGTGCACCCTTTCTGGATCTGTGTCTCAACGGCAAAAGATTTTAGTAAAAACATTGAAGGAAAAAAAATACTCTGCACTTGTGTATGTGTGTGCATTTATTGATAAGTCCTCTCTGTGTGTCGTTGTGAGTAAAAGGAGAAGGGTAGCGCATCCTGGCCTTTTGCCTTTTACACCATCAGACTCTCCTCGGAGACTTCTGTGCCTGTGTAAAAATCTAATGGATCTCACACCAAGAACACAAATCGCAGCCCTTAAGTGGGTTTCCCAAAACACTGCCTTGCTTTTTTTTTTGTGGTTACTTGAGAGACTGCCCCCCTCGGAAGCGAGGGTAGGGAGGGGAGAGCATTGCTTGTGAATGCTGCACCGGAGCCGAGATGCGGTAGGAGGAGGGTTAATCTGTGTGGGCTCCTTCCATCCTCCCTCCCTCCCTGCTTGTGTGTGCAGCAGCCAAGGCAGGTTATAAATAATTGATGAGGAACTGGAAAGGGAGAGAATTTATATAATTTTCTCCCAGAGTGGGGAGGCCAGGGCGGAGGAGGAAGGATTCCCCCAAAACATGGGTTTCGTGGTTGTCGTTGGGATCGCTGCACCAACATTGGCGCAGTCTGGGATCCCCTTTTGGTCCTGCACCCTGAAAAGTCCCTCTCTGGTGTTCCCTCCACTACATTCGTGGCGGAGGGAACCCCACGAGAGGGACTTTTCAGGGTGCAGGACCAAAAGGGGATCCCCAATTGGCTGCCTTTTTAGGTGGAGCCAATGGGCAGTCCACCTATGAGTCCACTCCTTGCACTTGTGGCTTGGTGATGGGAAGTTTTCTTCAATCCCATGGGGCGGGCGTGGGGTCCCTGGGACCTTCCCGCCTCCCACTCCCATCTCTGCCCAGCCCTTGCCCCCTTCCAGATCAGCTGATCTCTCCCCCAAACCCCCCTCCTGACACCCACTGCCTTGCCTTGGAGCCCAGTGCCAAGGGAGGGGAAGGGGCGTCTTTGCAGACAAAGCTGCCGAGTGAGCAACTTGAAAGAGGAGGTGGGTTGGGGAAGGAAAGAAGGAGGGAAGGAAGGAAGGAAAGAAGGAGGGAGGTAAAGAGGGGGGCGGAGGCTGCATCTCTCCATCTCTGTGCTGGGAAAGGAGAGGAGAGGAGGAGGAGGAGGGCTACAGCAGCAAGAGGGAGGGGTGTGAGGTGTGAGCCAAGAGGGGAGGGCATCTCTCCATCCATCCATCCTGCCAGCCCTTTTTGCCCAGCCCACCCCCTTTTTTCTGCCAGCTGGACCCAGCCCGAAGCCCAGGTAGGAGCACTTGGGGGGTCTTGGCTGCCCCCTCCCCAAACCTTCCCTTTGGAATGCCTTGGGAAGGATAACTGCGGCAAGCGGGCGGGGGAGTCCGAGGGGACCTTGTGTTTGTGTGTGAACGCCAAAAGGGAGCGAATTCGGATCAGGATTGGGGGGAGAATGGGGAAGATGTTCATGAGCAGCAGTGGGTGGGTCGGGTCGGGTTGGGGGGACATTGCTGGAGGGGAAAGCAAGGCGGAGATGGAGCCCGTGGGTTTGATATTCCCGACTTGTGCTTTCGGGGTTGCCTCTGGGGGGACACAGGGGATCCACGCGCGACAAACTGGGGAGGAAATGAGGGAGAGTGGGGGTCGGGTGGAGGGAGGGAAAGAGGAGATTTGGTGTGTTCTGTGGGAGAAAAAGGGGAAGGGGCTGCCTGCGTGGGTGCGGGAGGAGGAAAATGGGTCGGAGGGTTTGCTAGTGGGTGGGGAGGGGATGCTGCAAGCCACCAAAAGAAGGGGCGTGGAGGATCCAAGCAGCCAAACCCTTCGTGGCTCCCAGACACGAGTGGGAAGCATCTTTGGGGGTTCCCCTACTTCACCCAAGGCTTAGGAAAAGGACCCTCTCCTATCTCTCTTCTCTCTCCCTCTGACTCTTTCCCAAGGAAGTCAGTCCCACTCACATCTAGAAGGAGGTGTGTGTATGTGTGTTTCGGGTGGGGGAGATGAGTGGGAAGGCTTTGGGGGGACCCCCAAAGAGGAGGAGAAGGAAAGGGGAGATGAATAGGGGAGGAGACCAGAAGAGAAGGTGGTGGGATCTAAGAAAAGCTGGAAGGGCGTGGAGACTGAGCTAAGGAGGAGGAGGAGGATGCTCAAGGGGCGTTGAAGGGAAGCAAACAGGTAAGGGAGGAAAGCCTGAGATGGAGAGAAAGAGGACCCACTCAGGAGTGTGAAATGGGTGGGGTCAAGGCAGAGTGAAGCGGCTGCCTCAAGTCCAGAAGGAGAGAGGGAAAATAGGATACAGATCAGGAGAAGAGAGGAAAAATAGGATATAGATAAGGAGGAGAGAGGAAAAATGGGATATAGAGTAGGTATGGGCCAATTTGGGCCCTCCGGGTGTTTTTGGACTCCAACTCCCACAATTCCTAACAGCCTCAGGCCCCTTCCTTTTCCCCCTCAGCCGCTTAAGGCTGAGGGGGAAAAGTAAAGGGCCTGAGGCTGTTAGGAATGGTGGGAGTTGGAGTCCAAAACACCCGGAGGGCCCAAATTGGCTCATACCTGCTATAGATACTCTCATGCAAGGAGAGCCATCAGTCACCCTCCTATAGACAGCTCCCAAATCAAATGATAGGCATCTTCTCCCCATCCACACTATCTAAGAATCTCCATCTCTTCTGCATCACTTCAGTTTCCCCCGGCAGAGTTCGGTGTATTGCAATGTCTAGACTGCATACCAATCTAGCACCAAATATGTGGATCAATGATTAAGGCGCACTGCTAACAATTAATTAGGTAATTGCAATACACAAGGCACAAAAGGAAATAATTCGCATCTCCACTCAACTGAATACCCAAGGATCCCACATATACACCTCCATGTGAGCATTGCATATTGTCAACACGCAAAAAAACCAACAAACTCTACTGTACTTACATATGCATACATTATGCATGTATCACTAACAGGGTTTTGATCACTGCTTCGTGCTGCCAACTCGAATTTAGTACAGCCTTATGAATGAAAGGTCTCTTAAGTCATCCTGTCATCAACAGCCCTGGCTCAAGTCTGGGAGAATCGTAGATGCAGGTGAAACGTCAGGAGAGAATGCTTCTGGAATATGGCCGTACAGCCTGGAAAACTCACAACAACCCAGTGATTTTGGCCAACAACTTTCGACAATAAATCAGGGCAATAAATCACCACACCTGGAATCACACTGTGTCCTTTTGGAGTAAATACATTTACAGTTTTATTTTCTGAACGCCTTAAACTTTTGCTGAGCATCGTTGTGTTTTCAAGTGATTTGATGGTGCTTTGGTCAGACCACACCTGGAATCACACTGTGTCCAATTCTGGGCACTGCAATTGAAGGGAGAGGTTGACAAGCTGAAATGTGTCCAGAGGGGGGAAACTTAAAGGATCAAGGGTCTGGAGAACAAGCCCTATGAGGAGCGGCTGAAAGAGCTGGGCATGTTTAGCTTGCGAAAGGGAAGGCTGAGAGGAGACATGATGAGGGCCATTTCCAAGTGAGTCGATTATACCTTGGTCAGACCACACCTGGAATCCCACTGTGTCCAGTTCTGGGCACCGCAATTGAAGGGAGATGTTGACAAGCTGGAATGTGTCCAGAGGAGGGCGACTAAAATGATCAAAGGTCTGGAGAACAAGCCCTATGAGGAGTGGCTGAAAGAGCTGGGCGTGTTTAGTCTGCAGAAGGGAAGGCTGAGAGGAGACATGATGAGGTCCATGTATAAATATGTGAGGGGAAGTCATAGGGAGGAGGGAGCAATCTTGTTTTCTGCTGCCCTAAAGACCAGGATGCGGAACAGTGTCTCCAAACTACAGGAAAGGAAATTCCACCTGAACATTAGGAGGACATTCCTAATGGTGAGAGCTGTTCAGCAGTGGAACTCTCTGGCCTGAAGTGTGGTGGAGGCTCCTTCTTTGGAGGCTTTTAAACAGAGGCTGGATGGCCATCTGTCAGGGGTGCTTTGAATCTGATTTTCCTACCTCTTGGTAGGGGGTTGGACTGGATAGCCCACGAGGTCTCTTCCAACTCTATGAATCTCATGGTAAGTCCAAAGCACAACAGTTTAGTCACCTTGGCTTTTAGGGAGAGTTCTCTCCTGGTGGTAGTCTCTTGACTTCTTTCTCCTTTTATGGCAAAAGCCTTTATTGTCTAATTTTGATCATCACTTTGTTTACATGGGAGATAAATGCAGTAGTCTTGCGGTTAATGCAGACCCTAGTGTTCCCTTGGAGTCCTTGGTGGTGCAGTGGGTTAAACCGCTGAGCTGCTGAACTTGTTGGCTGAAAGGTCAGCAGTTTGAATTCCGGGAGCAGGGTGAGTTCCCTCTGTTAGCCCCAGCTTCTGCCAACCTAGCAATTAAAAAACTTGCAAATGTCAGTACTGCTTCTGTGGGAAGGTAATGGCACACCATGCAGTCATGCTGGCCAAATGACCTTGGAGGTGTCTCTTGACAACGCCGGCTCTTTGGCTTAGAAATGGAGATGAGCACCAACCCCCAGAGTGGGACATGACTAGACTTAATGTCAGGAGAAACCTTTACATTTATTAGTGTTCCCTTTTCTTACTTTTTGTTACTCCCCATTGATCATTATAGTAGTTTCATTTATCCCTGCGCCAGAGGCGGCCCTAGGTAATTTTCAACAGTAAGCAAACAGTATTTTGGTGAACCCCCCAACCAATCACTGATATATATTTTCTGTTCGTCATGGGAGTTCTGTGTGCCATATTTGGTTCAATTCCATCATTGGTGGAGTTCAGATTGCTCTTTGATTGTAGGTGAACTATACATCCCAGTAACTACAACTCGCATATGTCAAGGTCTATTTTCCCCCAAGAGTGCCTCAAGAACGCCCCTGGGCAAAATCAACTATACTGCAAATGTTTATTTTGCGTAATAGATTGAGCCGCCCCTGCCCTGAGCAAAAGTCACTGAAAACTTGCATTTGGAGTTCTGGCCCAATTTTTGTCCTTTTGGGAAAAAAAAGATTTTGCTTCTCATCTGTGACAGAAGAAGGGTGTTTGAGGAGTTTCATCTGTCACCCACTGAGGCTTCATTTTCACTTTTTTGGGAGGCTTCAAATGGTGTATTTTTGCATTTCTCCCTGAGAGTGTCCTTGGGTTCAATCCAGAGTTCTTCTGGAATCTATTCAATTAGACTTAATCATGCAAATCTCTTGTTTATATTATTTTTAAATTCTATGGTAATGTTCTTCAAGTTTATTTCGACACCGGTTGGTTCAGTGTTCTTCGTTAGCTTTAATTTAATTTTTAACGTCATGGCCTCTGCCACAATCTGCTCCTGATCTTATTTTTGCAGAGAGAAAGGGGCTTCTCTATCTTCTGCTCCCAATTCTGTAGTCAATTTGAGTTCTATATTGGCTATCAGGTGATGTCCATGTATCCATCAGGCATGGGCGAACTTGGGCCCTCCAGGTGTTTTGGACTTCAACTCCCACCATTCCTAACAGCCTCAGGCCCTTTCCTTTTGCCCCTCATCCGCTTAAGCGGCTGAGGGGCAAAAGGAAGGGGCCTGAGGCTGTTAGGAATGGTGGGAGTTGAAGTCCAAAACACCTGGAGGGCCCAAGTTCGCCCATGTCTGATATATATAGTCATCTTTCAGTGTTTATGATGAAGGAACTGTTGGCATTGCAAAATCCTATTGTATTCCTTGACTGCTTTTACTACATCTCTCTTCACCACCCCTTATTTTCTTAGATTTTAATTAACTGTGTAATTATCTGATTCAAAAAGTTCAATTCCTGTTCCCTTTAGTATTGCAATGTTTGTATGTCAAGAAGAAGAAAGATGAGGAACATGAGGAAGAACTTCTTGACTGGGAGAGCCGTTCAGCAGTGGAACTCTCTGCCCCGGAGTGTGGTGGAGGCTCCTTCTTTGGAAGCTTTTAAACAGAGGCTGGATGGCCATCTGTCAGGGGTGATTTGAATGCAATATTCCTGCTTCTTGGCAGGGGGTTGGACTGGATGGCCCATGAGGTCTCTTCCAACTCTTTGATTCTATGATTCTATGTTTCATTCCTTGTTTTACTACGCCCAACTTCCCTAGATTTATGTTTCCCACATATTATTTATTTACTTACAGTATTTATATTCTGCCCGTGTCACCCCAAAGGGGACTCAGAGTGGATCACAGAACACATATACGGCAAACATTCACTGCCGTTGTACAATGACAAGACAAGCAACTTTACATAGATAGAGGTATATATAGGCTTTCCCCCATCTTCGGCATCTTGGAGGCTGTGCTTGGT